TTCAATTTAAACACTTAGCAACTTCATTCAATATGTCATGGAGATGGTAATAACATACAGAAAAAACATATGAATATTAAAATCAACTTTAAGTGTAGTACCTTGTGTGTGTGCATGTTTCAGGGTATCAAGATCAAAGTGGTTGTAACTTTTTATAGAACACTGAAACTAATTTCACATGGCAGCGGGGGCATTCATGTCTTACAGACATTTTCTAGTTCTGTATGCATCCCATAGAGCAATGGTAAAATGGATTATATTACAAATCCTCGTGAAGTACTTAAAATCGGAATTCCTTTGATGTCTTCATAATGTACGCAGCTAAAAGACGAGGGGTCACTGGTTACCTTAGAAATACTTTTTCGAAGTTTAGAATTAATCTGAATGTTTTGACATTGTAGTTATCTGTTCCTTCAAGTATGTTGTTATATACATGTAGTACTTCCCGCACTTATAAGGTAACTTATTACAAAAAAATGCGGTGACGCTTCTTTATGCACGTGTGACGATAGAAGAGCTCTGTTCGTCCGGACACGTTCAACACACGAACAGACAACCACGCGCTGATAAGTTTACTTAATGAAGATCATAACATAGATATCTAAACGATCTCTTGCAGTGGATGGAAACTGGGCTAGTTGGGGCTCCTTTGGCGATTGTTCGCTGACATGTATGGACTTCGGATCGTCACAGACAGGAATCGAAGAACGGACTCGTAACTGTACGGATCCTGCCCCGGCATATGACGGAGCGCAGTGTGTGGGAAGTGGCTCAGAAACGCAGTCATGTACGACCTCAACCTACTGTGCTAGTAAGTACCAAAACGCAATTTATTTTATTACTTGATAATTCCTCCAAATCCCTTTTACTGGATCCTATACAACTGACAAGTTCACAAACACTCTTGTCGACCGATCTTTCGGTAAATATCTAATTCTAAATAGAACCGCAAGGAAAATATCAGCCAATTTTACTGTTAGCAAGCAGTTTTTTGATTAATACATATTTGAAAGGCTATTTAATTGTTTAGTTAACTTATCACCAGACTAAATACAGTATGTAGGTTTCTTTTTAATTTAGGGAAGCTGGTTAATCTATATACGAATAATAAACATTTTCTGGTGGCTAAAAGTCGTATTTTAAATATTAAAAAGTCTCAATTCCGACTTCTATACTAGAAGGGGATATTTTCTACACAACAATACATTCTTATAACTGTAAATATGGCTTTAAAAATAAACCATATTAATATAATCTCTTGGTTTACTTGTGGTAAATTAAATTTAATATACTTATTATATAATGAAATATAATCCACTACTTCTCTATAACGGTCGTCGATAAACGTTCGCTTAATTTACCAAAGGATATTTTGTAAAATAAATAGATACAACTTTATTTAACGTCGTGTACATTGTCAACAACAAACTTAAGCTCTGTAGAGCTTTTATAACCATGCCGCTGAGGGAACAAATATTGTTTTCGTGATGGAGGAAAACCCACCGGGGAGAAACCACCGTGCCATCGGAGGGACAACAACTAACTCATTCAGACATCACTCTCTTTTTCCGCCACCGCCGGGAATCGAACCAAAATTCTCGGGAGAGTAAGTTGTCTGAAGCTCACGCTTGATTGCACACAGTAGAATGACTGTGTGCGTTAGCGATCTCGGCTTCAATATTCTATATAATTTCCATAGTAATTTTTAAATAAATTACAAATGTGTGGCCTAGGAAGAAAATGTTTTTCTTGTTTAAACCACTGAATTCCAATTCGTTATTCAGTACATGGCGATTGGGGATCATGGGCAGCATGGGGAGACTGCTCCGTGACATGCGCAACAGGTGTCAAGAACCGTACACGTGAATGCGACACTCCCGCCCCTCAATATGGCGGCAACAACTGTAGCGGGGACGCTTCAGACCAGATGGCTTGTACCCTAAACCCGTGCCCAGGTAGGCTGCAGTGATTTATGTTGGCAAAACAATATTCAGTAATGTACTAAAATATTCTAATTGTTTCAATATTTGATTTGCTAGATGATCATATCTACTGCGTCTCTTTCATGATGTTTTTGGAATTATCAAAATGGTGAACAAAATTTAAAATATTCCCGGCAGATCATACACACAACTTTACCACTTTGAAATGTAAATAAAGGGGAACAGTAAAATAAATGAACGAGTTTATAAAGTTAGATATGACATGGACACGAGTATAAGATTACCATTTATCAAATAACATTCATAATTTAAAAACAAAAACCAAAAAACGTTAAACACAATTGGGTGTTATCTGTTGACTCTATATTGTTCAAAACCAAAGTTCTTCAATCATGTTTTTGTTGTTCCGCGCAGTGCAAATTAGTTCCAGATTAAAAAAAAAATATGAATAGTTTTACGTGCAATGAAAATAATAATTCAAATTCATTTTAAACAACAGTAAGTGTATCGTGTAGGAAAGTAAACAGTAGTAGCACTTGTAGCGGCGTAGGAATATGTTCCAGCGATTTTGATCAATCACAGCACCTAAAGGTATTATATGACATGGCCGTATGACATAGTGAATTGGGCCAGTTATGTGATAATGATAATGATGACTGACAATCAGAATCCTGGACAAATACTGTTAAAGTGCATATTTTAGCGGGCACAAATTTTAGCATATTATTGAGTTTAAACTTATTAACTCTATGATGAATCAACCGTATTTTATTAAGGGACAGAAATCGCTTAAATTGGAATCACTATAAAGTCTGCACGTTAACAGTTTTATGTCTATTACAATTAACTACCTTAGTCATCAATTGTCGGGTGGTGAAGTGGATAGCACACTTGCCTTTCACCAAGGCGGCCTGTGTTCGATTTCCCGACCGCATGTGGAAAGGAATGGGGTCAACTGCCCTACCACGTGGGTTTTCTCCGGTTACTCCAATTCCCTCTCACATTAAGACCCCCACACTCTAACATCCGAGCCAACAAGAGTGATTAGTATAAGTTGTAAAAATTTGTTTCATAATTGTTGTAAAATAAATAAAGTTTATATTTTTAGTCATCAGTATATGATACAACATTATGAGCATGTTTTCCGTGCCCTATCGCAGTTGACGGTGGGTTTACAGACTGGACATCGTGGGACACGTGTACCGTCACGTGCGGAGGTGGCCCTCAGGGCCGAAATCGTAGCTGTACCCAACCAGCCCCTGCCCACGGGGGTGCCAGTTGCAATGGAACGGACTCCGAGACCCAGGATTGTAACACCGCCGTTTGCATCAGTAGGTATTTTGGTATAATTTCAAAGGTATATACAGTTTAGTATTTTGTAGCAATTTTTTGTATGAAATATCCTGTCAGTCTAAGACATTTTCGGACATATATTGTAAAACCGAGAAACTTTCGCCCAGTCAACTACTTGCCTATGCTTTGTATTTATATTCACTACTTTGGTAACTTCACCCTCGTTGCGAAGGTTGATAAAGTTGAAATATGAACTGCAGCAAAATATTTCCGGTATTCATCATTTTATATATATACATAGCCATCTAAACATTTTTTCTTCATTTTTTCCCCGTTGAAAATTAGTTATCATAGTTTAACAAAACTGACTTGCAAACCGTAGGAATTGCAGATATTAAATTTTAAATTTAATTTATGACAAGATAATAATCAAATCAACTTAATAATGCATTAATGTAGAGTAGAAACACCCAATTTAATTTTGTCATACAAGTACGAATTTGTTTTTGTAATTTATAGAAGAGTTGGTTTATTATCTCACTGAGTGTATTGAGATTTAATTGTCAATTTTAGTCGATGGAGCCTGGGGAGCCTGGGGAGCCTGGGGATCGTACTGTGTGTGCACAGTCACGTGTGGAGGTGGAAGTCAGTCGCGCACACGAAGCTGTGACTCTCCACTTCCTGCCAATGGAGGCCTCCAATGTTCGGGAGACTCTAGCGAGTTTCAATCGTGCAACAGTGCTGTCTGTCCAAGCCCATCCCCCGGTACCTATGTGCAGGTAAGAGTTCACTTGTAGATATGAGATGATTCAATCTGGAAATTAAAGTGAGAGTAACTCGTGTTTAGTGGATGTTGAAATCAGTAGGTTATAACAATATATTTGAAAACCGGTAGATCGCAATACAGAGGCATTTCGTATTATACCGCAATACAAAAGTGAAATAACGCCATATCGGAATATTTTTATGTATCTGCTGTTAGTTTAAACTTTATCTATTACTTCACATTCTTACAGATAAGCCAGTAACCATAAACAGGCCATTACAAGTATAAATCAATATTCAAAACTTCATAATCACTTATTGGTTTAACAAATAATCTTAAGCATGTGTGATCAATATCATATACGATTCAGTTTGATAACATTCTGTAAATGATTTACTTTTACCTTTTGTATTGCAATTTCTCCAATAACCACTATAGGTTTCCTCACTCCTGATTCATTGGATAAACCTGCTAGGAGTTGGTAAACATTTTTGGTTACCCACTAGTGGGTAACACCCTGGACGCGATTTCATTGGTCAATTTTTTACTTATGACGTCACGTAACAATGCTTTGTGACGCCATCTTCCATTGTGACGTCATGATTCAAAGCAATTGTTTTCCCCCAATCGGAAGCCGACATAGTGTATTTTCAAGGGAATCATATGGCTTTTCAGTTAAAAAATGAACGTTATTGGAGAAAAAGGACCCCAAACTCGTTAATGGTAGTTTATCATGTTTATCTTACTTTCCTTAGTAAATTTTCAAATTGTAAAAGGCTCTCGGTAGACCTCGTGTCTTTATAAAATTTTAAAATTAACTCGAGTTAGATAAACATGATAACCAACCATCACTCGTTGGGGAACCTCTATATATCGTGATCTACACTCAAATCACTGGAATCAAAGGTACCAAATGCTAATCGTCATATATAATATAAAATCTAAATGTAAAATATAAGCATAGCGTTATTTCTTTTCAGAATTGCCCCTCCGGATGGTTTTCGTGCGAAAATCCATCGACCTCCTGCATCGAAGACGCCTTTAAATGCGATTGTGAAATGGACTGTACGGACGGAAGTGACGAATCAGAGACGTATGCCGGATGTTCATCTGCTGTTTTGGCAGCATGTCCGGGCGGTTCTTCCAGCTCCCGTTCCGGCTCCGGAGCAGCAGAAGGTAAGAATGCTATCATGTACTGTGCAATGAGGCAAAGACAGCGACGTGAAAAAAAATTAAGGTATCTAAAGTTACGCCTGTTAAGAATAAAAGTAGGGCAACTTTAATTGAAAGGTCAGAGGGGGGACGGTTTAGGGGCATAATTCCGTTTATAGTTATTGGAATATACAAGTTACGAATACATTATCACAGGTTTAAGCAAGAACCAATAAGAGTGACATTTCATCGTGTCTATGTGCAAATAATGTGTCAAGTTATGTCACATGAATAGGCAAATGGTGTTTGGTTTAAACTTTGTTTGTTTGTTTGGGGTTTAACGTCCTTGCAACAGCCAAGGTCATAAAAGGACCGGTACTTAGGGAGACACAACAGCCAAGATCATATAAGAAAGGGTGCTTAAGGAGACAACAGCTAAGGTCATATAAGGACGGGTACTTAGGGAGACACAACAGCCAAGATCATATAAGAAAGGGTGCATAGGGAGACACAACAGTCAATGTCATATAAGGACGGGTACCCAGGGAGACACAACAGCCAAGGTCATATAAGGAAGGATGCCTAGGGAGACACCGCCTGAAATAGGAAGTAGATAGAAAAAGAGAAGACAGGAAAGACAGGAAACAATAAATATCCCAAATTGCAATTGGGGCAGCAGATCGCTTTTGGTATGTTCCATGTACCCTTCGTTGTTGGATAGATTAAAGATATTACATCGAGTGATTTTTGGTTTACCTAACAACCGTTTTCCTGTGAAAACAATCTTGATATTTTAAGCTAGGTTTATCAAACAATTACTGTTGTTTTGTTTACGTCCACGCTACTGTTAAAAGGGATAATATATGAATAATGCCTACTTCAGATAGGCGGGATTTTAGGAAGTTTATGCAGGTTTGTGACCGCTGAATTTTAGTTCGTTTGGCCTTATCCGACAACTCCTACTTTCAGAATAAATTAACCTAAACTTATCTTATCTCCCTTTACATATTTGTATAAGTCTCAACTACAATAAGGTGTTCTCTAATGCCTATTTTAGCGATCAAAAATACATAAATATCATTTCCAATTTATAAACTGATGGAACTCAGCTACCGTGAAATTAGACATTTTCGTGGCGTCCAAATTTACTGGTTTTACCAAAAAATAACAATTGTGTGAAAACATGAACTACAAGTACCAATTCATACGAGGAATAGCTTTATGTCAAACCTGTACTATCTTCATGGATCTAAGAAGTCGTGGATGAAGAGTACCCACAAAATCAACAAAATTAAAAATTCCACATCGCACGAAAATTAATAATTTCATAGTATTCATTTCAAAATTGAGGGAATTTTTGTGACTCGTTTATTAAAACGACCGTGTGATTGTGTAATCGGCGGTATATATCATATCAAGTATAAACATGATATTGATATGTATTTTTTGCATTTAATTTTTCAGCCATTTCGAGGGTTAGCGTGGTCCTGATGCTGGTTTGTCTCTTTGTGGCTGGAAGAATTGCGATCTAAAGAAGAACAAGAGAAAGAACACACAGAAAAGACACATACTGTAAACATCCATATGTTAGCGGTTTTCTTATTTTAGCGCCTCATATGCTTTACATATTGCGCTAATTGAAACGTCTGTTTAACATGTCTATAACGTATAGTATGGGTGCGCTAATTAATCCATGCCCTTATCTGTTACAATTCGATTATGAGCCTAAATTTCAGTACGTTAACAGTGTCTTATCAACATTTTAGAAACATCTGTTTCATAAAGAAAACACTTCTTTCAACACATCTACGTGTATGTATATAAACCTTTTTTTTTATTGCTGTTGATATATCCAGTTTCATTTTCGAAGAATTGAAGACTCGTGACTGTTAAAAAACTCATGTAGCTCTTCGTGGTCCGATTCTGGATTTATGAATAATTTTTAGTTTTTTTCTTTCATAAAATATTAGGTATATAACATAGGTTTAGGACGCTGATTATGTATCTAATTAAATCAATTAACTTTGCTTGTAAAATGCAAGACTAAAGCAGATAAAAAAAAATTCGCGATCACTGATTTTCGAAATTATACATCATACCAATAATATCATATAAAGACAAGAGGTGCCGAATGTGCATAATATCATATAAAGACAACAGGTGCCGAACGGTACTTAAATTTTGAGGTTTCATTTACACTGTATTCGTGACTTGACAAAACACGCAAAATATGAAGCTAATAACGGTGTTGTACGAAATTTGAACCCCGCGTATTTGTTCCGGGAATAAAGCTTCAAAATCATCAGCTTGTGAAATTGAAGTTCTAAATAGTATTTGAGTTCTTTATAGTCGAAGTCGGTTTTCCTCAATGTTTACTGCTCGAATGAATATGCTTTAGTTATGACGAGGTGTCCTACTCAACTGATGCTGTAGTGCTAACCTTTACCATTTAGGTAATTTCCACAATTTTCATGACGTAGTTCACAAAAGATATCTCACGTTTTATGTATATTCACCATTATTTATATTTAATCTGTCATGTGGTTCATAAGATTTGTAGTGTATTAAAGGGAAAATATATAAACTTTATCTGAAATGATACTTCCTCGTTCTGTCGTTAAGTGCTTTGAACTTTTTCATTCAATGATATATTTGTACAATTTATAGCTATATTGAAATACTCAGCCCCTTTTAAGGGTTTGAGTTATAGTAAGCTGTGATTAAGTGCTTCGCCTTTATCAGTCTTGTTGATTTTATCTGTATTTATCATATATTACATTAAAAAATAATTTTCTAACCTTTGCTTTGACTTTTTTTTTGGTTTCGGTTTTGCGAAATTTAAGGATCCCTGTCCTTACAGTAAGGTATGGTTTTCGTTTCAAAGAAATGATTTATCAAAGATATAGTGATGCCGTTTCTTGACATATTTGACCCCTGTGACCTTGAAAGTAGGTCAAGGTCATTTAGTGACATTTTTTGGCAGTTGTACTTTGACGCTTAATAACATATTGTGTACAAATAAATACGTTGTTGCTACATAGCTGATGCGAGGAGATATTTGAGCTTGATTACACAGATTTCCCGATCACCTTACGAGATATTTGCGGAATATCCAATACCCTAACTAAATATGCCAAATAATGAAGTTGCTCCCGTAATTAATGCACCAGAGTAACGTTACAGTGTTTGAGATTCTCCTTTATATCGAAGACTAAAGTAACGAACAGTTTGAGTGACGTAGATCAAATGTACGATGTCTTCGTTTAACGTCACAGTCACACATAGATATCAAAGTAACAGCCAAGATTATATTTTAATAGCGTTTGGTTTGGTTTGGTTTGATTTAGTATTGCTTAACGTCCTATCAACAGCTATGGTAATTTAAGGACGGCCTCTCCTGTGTGCAAGATGCATGCGTGAAGTGTATGCGTGAGTGTTTTGGGAGGCTGTGATATGTTCGTGTTTGTCTCCTTGCGATAGCGCGGAACTGATGCCGACTTTTTAGTGCTACCTCACTGACACATACTGCCGAAGACACCCCACCCGGTCACATTAAATTGACAACGGGCGAACCAGCCGTCCCAATCCTAAATTGCTGGGCGTTACGTATGAGTAGAAACTACCATTTTTTACAGACTCTGGTATGTCTCGGCCAGGGGACAGAACCCAAAGCCTTCCTCACAGGGGCGAACGCTAAACTTAAGGCCACAATTCTAACGGGTCTTACAAACGTCAACAACCATTTTTTTATGACGTCAGACTCTGAGTAACAGCTATTTTCAATGCAAAAACCCCCCACCCTTTTAAAGTAATAACTTCACTTAGATATAATAATAAAAATAAATATAATAAAATCCTTAATTGTTAACAAAATTGCAAATAGCTGAAAATAGAAAACCAGGGAAGAACACGAACGAAGGAGGACCTCCATGGATATCATCGCAAAGCACAGAACCGGGAGCCCCAGTCGTTCCGCAGGATCTTTTTTTCCTAGTTTCCCGATAGACGTTAAACACGCACATGTGGCTGTAACAGAAGAAATGAATAGCGAAAGTGAAAAGGGGTAACATTTGTCCATGTCTCCTGTCTAATCGATTTGGTGTGGTTTAGTTTTATTCTGTCTAACGTGCTACCAACAGTAACGAACTAACACAAACACACACACGGGTGATTGTACCTTTAAAATGTGGTAATATATACAGTCTGTCGAATTGAATCACACTGCATTGTACAGCTGTTTCGTCTTTCTAGGACTCATTGGTGACGCTAGGAACCAAAATGTTCGAAATCCAAATAGGTCCAAACTACAGTTGAAACAGATGGGCAGGTGTGTAAATATCATTGGCCCGATGGGCAGGTGTGTAAATATCATTGGCCCAATGGGCAGGTGTGTAAATATCATTGGCCCAATGGGCAGGTGTGTAAATATCATTGGCCCAGTGGGCAGGTGTGTAAATATCATTGGCCCAGTGGGCAGGTGTGTAAATATCATTGGCCCAGTGGGCAGGTGTGTAAATATCTTTAATTTGTGAATTTGAAAACTTAATAGGAGAACTGCTTAATTTTAAATAAAACAATCTGTGAAGTTTGTATGTTAAAATAAAAGTGGCTGTATNAAAACAAAAACTTTCTATGAATCTATTTTTAGGGCTGCAACGGTACATTAACAAGACGATACGATACGTATCCCGATACATATAGTAACAGTAAAAGCAATAAAAAAAAATTTGTTGAAATTTTAAATGGCAATAATACAATTGGAAATGGACTTGAAATGGGTATGACTTTAAAGTTTCACACAATTCACGTCTTTCGACGTGAACGCCGAGGTGTAGCGGTCACTGGCCATGTGGTAATGGATATGAGTAGACTTAACTCAAAAACAACAAATTCGCAAAATATCATAGGTGTCTCGTGAATTCCCAGACATATTGTGTATCGTTACCGGGTTCAAAATATCGCGATATATCGTCGCACGATATATCGTTGCAGCCCTACTAATTTAAGGAAATGTAACAACCACGTTGACAATGAAATTAAGAACAACCTGAAAAATCGAAACTTTACAGGATCATTTCTTTTCTTGTTTTGTCACTCTTAAAGTTAAAATGTCCTTTAAAACGCCATGGCCATAAGACATAGGTCTCAACAGACCTTAGGGCCATTCGATATATATAGTAACTTAAACGCTTGAATGTCGCAATCTTTACACGACAGTATAGCGTTCCACTTGATTATACTGTTCGTGCTATGGAATAACTAGATATTTCTAAAAGAACGATGCCGACCAAGGACGAGTAGATTCGAAATCGTAAAAAGAAAATATCTAGATTTTGACTTTCATGTGCCCGAAATATATCTAGTTGACACGGAAATGATCAGAGTGAAAGGAAGTTACAAATCCCAAACGATACTTCGTCAGTATCATTTACTTGCAATAAGTAAGGATTAAACTTTCAATTTCAATATCATCAAAACAGAGTGTAGAGTTAAAAATAAAAAGGAAAATATGTTTCGGTCTTTGGTAAAGGTTTTGATGGCTGTTCCACTTGTCCTGTTTATCTATGGCGATTACTCGGTGAAAATTAAACTGAATTTCACAAACTTTACCTCATTTTACAAGACGAAGACATTGACTCTCCGACTCTGCACGGGATTCAACATTAAACGGGACAACACTTGAGTCAGGGCTGAGGTGACACACACATTAAACATTTCATTTAAACAAATGACACATTATTTCGTCAAGTTGAATTTTGGAGTTTACCATACCTGTCTTTTAGGTACACTCATTTTGGGCTTTTCTCGTATAACTATTGTTTTCTGATTGCACGAAACGCTCAAAGTCAGTAAATAATACGTAAAAAGAATATTATATTGCAGTGTTAGCAAAACTGTAATTCAAACACAAATTCGATGAAATCGGGGGGAAATATGAACAAAGGAAACATTTATATGAATTGTACAAGAACGTTAAGATATTCCGAAATGGTCAGCGTTCTCGCCTTCGTTGACGACACCGTCCAGATCAATCTACGTCACATCCTCATAGCAAAGACCGAGGTTATGATGGGGTAGTGGTCGGGTGGCACAATGAACACAGAGCACTAGCCTTCTTAGATGGCCGGAGTTTGATTTCCCGATCGGACGTGAAAAGGTATCGGGTCACCAGCCCGACAACGTGAGTATTCTCCGGGTACTCTGTTTCCTCCCAGATAAGACCCCTAGCGCGCTACCATCCGGGGCAACAAGAGTGATTACAATGTAATATAATAGATAGTGCATGTTTCATTATTGTTATAAGATAAATAAAATTAAAGGGATAGACACCTGAGGCACACAATAACAGACCAAGCTTGCTCGATTTACTCTCAACGGGCACACGAAAGGCCGACCGGCTCGGCGGACATTTTAGCTGGATCGGATTAAATGTTATAAAAAATCAAGCAGACCAATCATATTTATGTTTTCAATTATCCTCGTTTTCGCAAGGTGTTTCTTTTGCAGACTTTCCAGATTTACATTCTTTATCCACGGTGTTTGGAGTTCATATTAATTTAATAAAACCATTCAGACACGGTTAACAAGATATGCTAGTTAAAGCAAACAATTATCTGTTTTCATCAACTGTTGTAAATTTGTAACCTAATAAGAGATTTTCTAGGCCTCCATCTCGATTCGTGCTGTATTTTTACATAACAATTTACAATGAGATTTTCCTCATTATGACTCGGTCATAGTTATGATGCAGTCATGTTTTTTACTTTGTTTATCATAGAAATAACAAAAACAAATAATAAAATGAATAAATAAATGATTAGGTGCTATGTCTTTTCGGATTACTAATAATAAACTTATTTTTCTTGTCACCTTTGACCACCTCATTGTTCAGTGGCTGCAAATGTGAGATGTTGAAGTCTGTGATATTACTGGTGTTAACCCCATTTTTTTTTATTCGAGCAGAGTTTGTAACCGTGGCGCCCTGTGACGATGTCATATAGCCACACTCAGCCACCGCCAAACATTTCCCGTTATCCAATTCGAGAAAATTACCCCATCCCAAATAAAAAATCCCGTCGACCTGCCTTAGAATCCAATGAAATGTAACCCTGCAGAAAAAATGCCCCGACCACGCTACGCGAAAGTTCCCACGCTGTTATAAAAATAATTCTGAAAAAATCAAACCGTATCACAGGAGACAACCCTGGCTCCTTTTATGCAGTTTAACATTACATGCTGTTGCGTTAGATACTTGATTCTTTAGTCTGCAGTCATTTTTGAATTTTAAGCAAATTTTATCGTTTGTACATTCTGTGTTAATATTCGCAATTTACTGTCATCATGGAAACCGCCACGGTAAATACATAACCAACGTCTATATCATAATACAGTTCATATATCCCTTCAATCACGAATGGGCATTAAGAAGATATGAATGACCTTTTATATGGTTATTAACACTGATTTACCTTGTCCGACAAAACAGGATTCATTAGCGTCTTTGTGATCAGCAAGCCGATGTTTCTATAACAGCTGTACGTACACGCCTAATTATCTCTCGCGGACAATCTAAAAATAGATTGCAAGTGAATAAAACATCACTGACAGTCAGTCTATGGTGTAATTATTAGAAGAGTCACGCATCTGTCGAAAGGCAATTAAAAGCGACACGACACATCCGCATTATCTTAATAATGTTTTTACGTGTATAAATTGTGGAGAATTTACGCATTCATTGCTGATTTATGATTAGAAATGATTGTTCGTGTAGTTATACATATATTATAAAATTCTAAT